ACAAAAGACTTCAGATCATCAACTAATGCCTAGAAAAGCCTCGTCCTAGCTCAGTTTTCAAGGCCATTGATAGGGTGGGTAGCTCTGTGCTTTGGACCCGGGATAGGCGGCACATCATGGTGCAATCGCATGGTAGAACAAACTTTGCCTCAGCCAGAAAGCAAAGAGAAACAGGACAGCAGGCAGCATGGGGCTCTACCTCTTAGGTTCTACTTCCTCCTCATAAGGCTGCCCTGAAGACCAAACTTATAATGTATAGGCCTTTTGGGGACCTTCAAAATCTCAACATATAGTAGCCTATGAGATGACTCAGCCAGTTAAGGTGCTTGCCACAAGCCCAGTGACTTGAGTTTAGTCCTTAAAGTCGTCTTGCTTCGTGAGGTTCTGTTGCTGTGACAAATGTGGTGACCAAAGGGAAATGGCTTACTTCAACTCTCAGCTCTCTGGTCACACTCCATTCCCGAGAGACGTCAGTGCAGGAACCTGGAGGCGGAAGCTGAAGCAGAGGAGCGCTGCTTATCGGCTTGCTTAGCCTGCTTTCTTGTAGCACCCATGACCTCCAGCCCAGGGCTGGCACTGCCCAAAGGCGAGTCGGGTGGGGGCATCTTCTCAGCTGAGGTCCCCTCTTCCCAAGTGCCCCTAACCTGTGTGAAGCTGACATAAAGCTAGCTACCGCCACCTGTCCTTTGCGGTGGAATGAGTATACCTGTATACACACATGATACATACATGCACACAACTAGATTAAAATTAGCGGCCTTCGTGGAGAGAAGCCCTTAAAAAAGAGCTGACTTTATCCTTAAAATTACCTTTTTAAAAAATTACAAATCTTTTATTCATGTGATTAAAATTTTGCTGTTATTACTATCTTTTTTTTTGAAACAGGGTCTCATTTAACCAAGGCTAACCTTAAACTTGATCGATAGTTGATGAAGACCTTGAACTTTTGATCTTCCTGCCTCTGTCTCCCTTTTAACTCTTTTTCTTAATATTTATTTATTTATTATGTATACAGTATACAATATTCTGTCTGTGTGTATGTCTGCAGACCAGAAGAGGACAGCATACCTCATTACAGATGGTTGTGAGCCACCATGTGGTTGCCGGGAATTGAACTCATGACCTATGGAAGAGCAGGCAATGCTCTTAACCACTGAACCATCTCTCCAGCCCTAACTCTTTTTTGTTTGTTTTCGAGACAGGGTTTCTCTTTGTAACAGCTCTGGCTGTCTTGTAACTTGCTCTGTAGACCAGGCTTGCTTGACCTCAAAGATCTGCCTGCCTTGGCCTCCTGAGTGTTAGGATTAAAGGTGTGCGCCACCACCTGGCTCCTTTTTTACTTTTTTTTTTTGTTTGTTTGTTTTTTCGAGACAGGGTTTCTCTGTGGTTTGGGAGCCTGTCCTGGAACTAGCTCTTGTAGACCAGGCTGGTCTCAAACTCTCCTTTTTTACTTTTTTTTTTTTAATATTTATTTATTTATTATGTATACAATATTCTGAATGTATGCCTGAAGGCCAGAAGAGGGCGCCAGACCTTCTTACAGATGGTTGTGAGCCACCATGTGGTTGCTGGGAATTGAACTCAGGACCCCTGGAAGAGCAGGCAATGCCCTTAACCACTGAGCCATCTCTCCAGCCCCCTCCTTTTTTACTTTTAAAGAATTTTTATTATATGCATTTATGTGTGAGGGTGCACATGAGCCACAGTTTGTGTGTTGAGGCCGGAGGACAGCTCGTAGGAGTCAGTCCCTTCCACCATGTGGGTCCTGAGGATTGGTGGCAAGCAAATGCCTTTACTTGATAGCCATCTTATAGGTTCCTGTTATTTTCATTTTCTCTCTTCTTTTTGCCCCATTTTTCTGTCATAGCGTCTCACTGTATAACCCTAGCTGGCCTCAAACTCACAGAGATCTGCTGAGCTCTCTCTCTCTCTCTTTTTTTTTTAAAGATTTATTTATTTATTACGTATACAGTTCTGCCTGCATGTATACCTGCAGGTACCAGATCTCACTGTAGACAGTTGTGAGCCACCATGTGGTTGCTGGGAATTGAACTCAGGACCTCTGGAAGAACAGTCAGTGCTCTTAGCCGCTAAGCCATCTCTCCAGCTCCTGCTGATCTCTTGAGTGCTGGGATAAAATATATGCTGCTGAATCCACGTACCCAGGTTTTTTGTTTTGTTTTTTTTTTTTAATAAAAAAAATATTTTTTGTCTTTTATTATAGCTGCCTCCATCTCATGAGTGCTGGGATTACAAGCATTACCTCCACACCCAGTTTATATCATTGCTATTTTTAAGATGGAATCTTGTATGTTACTTAGACTGATCACAAATTCTTGGACCCAAACCATCTTCCTGCTTTTGTCTTCCTGGCAGTTGGGACCAGAGGCACACACCCCTGCACTTTGATAGCTTGTTTTTGAAAAATGACCTATTTGGGAATAGTCATTTTCAGAGATGTAAGACTCAGATTTTGCAAACAAATCATAGATAGAATATGAATAGAATTCAAAAGTGATCGAATCTTCCACTGACCACAATGGTGTCTACAATGCAACTTGATTCCTAGGTGGGATTTAGACTACAGATAGTCTTTGGCACTCACTAAGTTAGCAGTGAGACAGGAGGGAAGTGAGCACGGCCGGACGACTGCTTTATGTCCCTCTTCAGTTAAAGGAATCCAAACGGGCCGTGAATAGCCTTCGAGACTTCGTGGATGACGACGATGACGATGACCTGGAGCGAGTCAGCTGGACTGGAGAACCCGTGGGAAGTAAGCTGAAGAGACCCTGCGAGGGGTTCTTGTCAGGAATGATGGCCGGTCAGCCCGGACGTTAGCAGCAGGCAGAGCCTCGTGGAGAAGCACCAGTAATGCCTGTGTGACTGGATCTGCTGTGCAGTGGGTGCTTGGCTGCCTGCTTCAGACTCATGGGGCGCTTGTTAACATTGCAGATTCCTAGGCCTTATGTGGTCATATTTGGGAGCTGTTAGCTTCAATAAACGAGCTGTTAAGTCATAGCATGTTAGCAGAACTACAGCCCTTGGCCAACGTGTTTTAAATATATGATACCACTTAATTTCTTCATAGACTCTGTTTAGGTAGTATAGCGTGATTTGAAAACAAAGAAAGGAATTGGCCAGACATGCCTTGAATCTCAGCACTTGGGAGGTAGAGGTAGGCGGATCTCTTGGGTTTGAGGGTAGTGGTCTACAAAGTAAGTTCCAGGACAGCTAGGGCTACCTGTCTTGGAAAAAAAAAAAAAAAAAAGCAAACAAAAAAAAGAGTGAACTAGAAAAAGCCCCAACCTAACACACACACCTAACCTACTAAATTAGTTACTTTAGTAATTGTTCAAGAAACAGGAGAGGCAGAACTCTTTCCCAGTATCTGAGGGCTGTTTGGAGCTCCTTCCATTTGTTCATCCTAATGATTAGCCTACTTGATTGTATCTTTCCGGGCCTCTTGCTGGCCAGGACACCAGGGTCTCTTGAATAGGCTTAGATTTGTTGACTATTGGGTGTCAAGGACTGATGTTGAGGAGACTTACTCAGTTCTTACCATCCTGCAGGCATCTCATGGTCCATCAAAGAGACTGCTGGGAATAGCGGGTCAGTCCCTGAGGGGCGTGACCAGCTAAAGGGCCGAAACAGTTTCTACACACAGCTCCCCAAACCTCCATCCGCCTACTCCCTGAGCAGCTTCTTTAAAGGTAAGGAGTGGGTGAGGGACAGGGATGTCCTTCACTCATCAGGAAAGCTCGCGCTAGCGTTTTCATTGGCTGGAGTTCTCATCTGAGCGGGCAGCTTGGTGCTAGGACTGGGAGGAATGAGAAGTCCTCAGCATGTGTAGAACATAAATGAAATTGACAGCCCTGTGTCAAGTACCAGAGAAACTGCCTAGATCAATATTCCTCCCTGCCTTTTATCGCCATCCTCTAGGGAACCTTGTGTGTCCCTGGTGGGGATGCGTAACTGTGCAGCCACTTTGGGAGTTAGTGTGGCAGTTTTTAAAAAGTTGACCAAAGGATTAGCATCTGAACCAGTTATCACTTCTAGGTAATTAATAAACGAATTGAATGCAGGCACTTGAGCAGATGTTTATATGCTAATGTGTGAAGATACACTGTTCACAATAGCCAAAAAGATCTAAATAGTGCATATGTTCCTTCTGCACTAAAAGGATAAGCGAAACATGGAATACAGATAAAACAGACTTACTTAAATAGGAATGAATGATATGTGTATAATAGGGGTGAACTTTAGGGAATTATACAGGGTGCAATAAGCCACAAAAGAGCAAATACTGTATTAACCCCGCTCATGTTGATAGATGTTAGCTCGATTTGGGAAATAACCAGGCTAGCTAAAAGATAAACAATTATATTTTTATGTATTATAAGAGGAAAAACTCACAAAACAGGAATGAGAAGTCCAAGCTCAGCTGTGCCGCGAGGGAGCCACAGAGAGAGTGTACTTGGGCCATGCGCCACATTTTCCCCCCGGGTCCCACCTCTTAAAGATAATTGGTTAACAAGGCTTCCCCATCAGATAGATAGACAGACAGACAGACAGACAGACAGACAGACAATTGGTTAACAAGGCTTTCCCATCAGATTTGGATGGATGGATGGATGGATGGATGGATGGATATGGAAGGTAGAATGGCAAGTTTGTCAAGAATGTCCGAGTTAGTGGAGGGAGTGGAGAACTACTGTGCACAGGCAGAGTCTCAGGATGGTGAGAGTCATTGTAGGACAGCGTGAATATACTTCATGTCACTAAATTCTACACTTGAAGATGTTGAAAGTCACTGGGCAATGGTGGTGTTGTACGCACCTTTAATCCCAGCATTCAGGAGGCAGAGGCAAGAGGATCTCTGAGTTTAAAGGCCAGCCTGGTCTACAGAGCAAGTTCCCAGAAAGGTTCCAAAGCTACAGAGAAACCCTGTCTAAAAAAACCAAAAACAACTATAGCAAAAATCTATGAAAGTGGTAAATTTTGTGCTGGCTTAGACAGCACATATACTAAAATTTGAGCAACATAGAGAAGATTAGCATGGCCCCTGCGAAAAGATGACACAAATTTGTGAAATGTTCCATATTTTTACATTTTATAAAACCAAAAAAAGTGGTAAATTTTATGTACATTTACTATACTTAAAATTTTTCTCTCTCATCCTTGTTTTACTAGGACATCAGAGTTCTGAAGTTGAATAAAAGATTTTATTGTATTTTATTTTGTTTTTTTATTTGTATGAGTGTTTTTTCTTTTATATATGTCTGTGCACCATTTGCATGCCTGAGGCCTACAGAGGACAGGAGAGGGTGTTGGTGCCCTTCAAACTGGAGTTACACATAGTTGTAAGCCACCATGTGGTTCCTGGGCATCAACCTGGTCCTCTGGAAGGGCAGCCAGTGCTCTTAACTCTGAGCCATCTCTACATCCCTGAATAAAAGCTTTCTAAAGCCTGCTTCTCCATAGTGTATGTCAAGCTCTATGTGCCCCATATCCTCACTAAGTGTGGGTGGTCTGACTTGAACTGTTGACATCTTCCTGCTGTGTTCTTTTCCTCAGGCAGAACTAGACCTGGGAGTTTCCAGTCCCTGTCTGATGGTAAGCTTTAGCCCCTTTTCTTGATTGCTATTTAGGGTACAGCCTGGAGAATTACGGAACAGGTGGTAATTGGATGAGTAGATTAACTTCCTCTGAACCTAGAGAAAGTGTCTGGTGCTACGTGAGGAGGTCACATAGGCTTCATTGCCGGGGATGACTGCTTGGGCTGCAGGCAGGAAAGAACGGAGTTCTACCTTTGGCCATGGAGATGCCCCAGGAGACAGACGGGTGGGTTGTTTTGTTTTTTTGAAGGAGGTTCATTGGGTAGGTAGCACAGTGGGTAGAGGAACTTACATCTAGGCTGGTGTCTTAGTCACTGTTATATTGCTGTGAAAAAACACCATGATGAAGGCAACTAGTATAAGAGGAAAGCACTTCATTACACTGCTTACAGTTTCAGAGATTTAGTCCATTATATTCACGGCAGGAAACATGGCAGCTTGTGTTGCAAGGGGAGGGCCTCTTGTTCATCCCAGCTGCCCAGAACCAAAATAGCCACACAAAACCTGTATTAATTAAATCACTGCTTGGCCCATTAGCTCTAACTTCTTATTGGCTAACTCTTATACTTTAATCCATTTCTATTAATCTCTATATCACCACATGGCAGTGGCTTACTGGCAAACATTCAGCAGCATGTCTTACTCTGGCAGCGGATCCATGATGGCTCTCCTACTCCACCTTCCTCCCAGCATTCAGTTCTGTCTTCCCGCTTACCTAAGTTTTGCCCCATCAACAGGCCAAGGCAATTTCTTTATTCATTAACCAAGAACAGAACACATAGACAGAAGGACCTCCCACACCATGCATGCATGACACTGGAGCAGTATCTGAGAACTACATCCTGATCCATAGGTAGAGAGAGAGACTCTGGGCTTGTCATGGGCTTTGTCCTCAGAGCCTGTCCTCACTGACGTACTTCCTCCAACAAGGCTACACCTCTTAATCCTTCTAATCCTTTAAATAGTGCCACTCCCTGGCGACTAAGCATTCAAATACGTGAGCCTATGGGGGTCGTTCTTATTCGAACCACCATGGCTGCTTGACCTGCACTTGCTCCCTTATCTCAGAGTTGTTCTTGACCTCCACGCTTCTGGTATGCCATAAACATGCCTGCACATGTACTTACATGCACACATGCATGCGTGCACATATAACGTGGGAAGGAAGCAGGAGAGAAAAGAATGATAAGAAACAGGCAGCAAAGCCGGGCGGTGGTGGCGCATGCCTTTAATCCCAGCACTCGGGAGGCAGAGGAAGGTGGATCTCTGTGAGTAAGAGGCCAACCTGGTCTGCAGAGGGAGTTCCAGGACAGTCAGATTACACAGAGAAGCCCTGTCTTGAAAGAAGCCAAAAAAAAAAAAAAAAGGAAAACACAGTGCACAGTGCCTTCTAAACTGGTTTCTGGTTCCTTTTCAGCTCTGTCAGACACACCTTCCAAAAGTTATGCTCCAGAACTGGGGAGGCCTAAGGGGGAATACAGAGTGAGTTACAGAATTTCTCTTCCTTTTTCCTCTCTATACTTACTTAGTTGTAAAATTACATTTATTTATGGTGTGTGTGTGTATGTGTTGGCCACATACCAGGTACAGATGTGGCACTCAGAGGACAACTTGAGGGAGTTGGTTCTCTCCCTGGGTCATTAGGTTTCCATCAAGTACCTCTCTGCAAAATCATGTCACCAACCTTGATTTTGTTTTTCTGAAATCTGGTCCCCCTCTGTAGCCCAGGCTAGAGCCTGGCATTTACCAGATAGTCCATACTGGTCCAGAACTTACAGGAATTCTCGTCTTAGTCTTTCAAGTGTTGAGATAATAGTTGTGAACAATCATGTTCACTTCAGTTATATCTTAATATCAGTGTGACAATTCTTTCCCATAGAGTATTTCTCCCATAGGTCAAAGATTGAATTTGAGGCATAGAGCTGGTACACTAGTAAGTCAGAGCCCTTAATGTATGATTCATGTGTTGCTAATATTCCAGGACTATAGCAACGACTGGAGCCCCAGTGATACAGTGCGACGCCTCCGCCGGGGCAAGGTAAGGCTACTGACGAGAAAATTCTTATAGGAGTCTTTGGCAAGGTGAGTAGCATATTCCACAGGAAGGATTTCTTGACTTGACTTCCTTTCCCGTTCCCATTTCTGAGTTGAAGTGGTTTTTAGAAGCAAAGCAAATCTACTCAAGTTAGGAGTGAGCTGCAAAATCGTTGACTCTCTGGGGTTTGGAGTGCCAGCAGAAGGGAAGCAGTGGTGGATGAGCGTAGCCATGGTGGTAGAGCACACCTGTAATGCTACCACTCGGGAGGCGGGGGCGGGAAAATGGTGGGTGTAAAGCTACCCTGGGATGCAGAGTGGAGGCCCTCTCTCAAACCTGCTCTTACCCCACAAGAAAGAAAGTTAACTTTTGTACATGGTGTGGGATAAGTGTTGAGGTTATTTTTTTTTCTTTTTTAATATAGATCCCAATCTTTCTTAGCATTGTTGGAAAGACTTTTTCCTCATTGAAATTTGGGAGTTTTTTTTTTTTTTTTTTATCAGTTGATTATTTAGTGATTTCTTGTGTGAAATTCTAGAAGAGCAGATGAGTGTTTTGGTGGACTAGGAACAGGAGGGCATTAATGTCAACATGGACAGAAGGACTGCTTAAGGGTAATAGAAGTTTTCTGTGTCTCTGTTGTAGTAGTGCTAGGATATAGGCACTTTCAAAGCTGAGCTATACACTTGCATAGGGTGAGTTTTATTGTATGAAAGTTACACATGAAGAAAAAGTGATTCTCTGCTGGCTTGGTCAAGACTTGAAGGCATCAGCATCCTTCAGGGCATCACATGGAACTAGGGTATGGTGGGACCTGCAGGTTCACAGAGCACAGAGAACAGCGTGTGAATACAGAGGTTCTCTCTGGATGTTTCCTTTCATTGTTGCCCTTCCCTCACTCTCCAGTGACCAAGGAACACGGGCAGCTGTCTCCCTTACGTACTCTCTGTGTTCTTACTCGGCAGGTCTGCTCACTAGAACGGTTCCGCTCCTTACAGGACAAGCTGCAGCTCCTGGAGGAGGCAGTAGGCATGCACGATGGAAACGTCATCACCGCGGTAAGTGTGAGCTGTGTTCTCGCTTGTTCAGTAGCTCCTGAAAATAAAAACTGGTTTCACAGTGGGGTGCGTGTCAAGAGCCTGGCTTTCTTTCTGAGGCATAGGGTTCTCAGAAAGTTTGCTCCTGGCTCAGCCAGTGGTGCATGCATTCTATGTGGTACTGTTCATTGTCACTAGAAATGTCACTGTCAGAAGGCTGCCTCTATCTTATGCAAAGTACCCTGGCAGCAGAACTGTGTGAGAGTATTTTCTCAGTAGACAGGAGGTGGTGTGATATCAGCCATTGTGATACCTAGAACATGGCTCAGTTCCAGGTGTCCGTCCTTCCCCCCCCCCCCCCTCCCCCCCCC